AACTACCCTACTAATGACTTGGAGTTGGCTGCTATTGTGTTTGCTTTCAAGATTTGAAGGCGTTATCTTTTTGGTTTGAGGTTTATGGTGTTCAGTGACCACAAGACTTTGAAGTACCTGTTCGACCAGAAGGAGTTGAACATGAGGCAGAGGAGACGGATGGAGTTCATAAAGGACTACGACTTCGAGCTGAGGTATCATCCTGGCAAGGCCAATGTGGTAGCTGATGCTTTGAGTCAGAAATCCAGTAGTTCATCCAGTTTGTTACTTGGTAACTTCGATGTGGTTGAGAAGTTCCGCAACTTGGCAGTGACCGCTCTGTGTGAGAGTGTACTTCTCGAGTTGGAAGCAACTGATATTGTGAGCGAGCTGCTAGAAAAGATTAAAGAGGCACAAGTTCAGAGAGAGTTTCTGGATTATGTGAAGAACCAAGACGGTGTGTCTTGGAATGATGATGGATTGCTTTTGTTTTAGCAGAGGATTGTAGTTCCTCGAGGTCCGTTGACAGAAGAGGTTGTGGCAGAAGGCCATAAGGGTCAGTTTTCTATCCACCCTGGTGCTACTAAGATGTATCAAGACTTGAAGAAGAACTTCTGGTGGCCGGGCATGAAGAAAGATGTTGCTATCTTTGTGTCCAAGTGTTTGGTTTGCCAGAAGGTGAAGATTGAGCATCAGAGACCGTCTGGTGAACTTCAACCTCTTGAAGTACCACAGTGGAAGTGGGAAGGTATTTCTATAGACTTCGTGGTGGGATTGCCGAAGACTCAGGCGGGTTGTGACTCTATTTGGGTCATTGTGCACAGACTGACGGAGTCTGCCCATTTTCTTCCAGTGAAGGTGAGCTTCACTACAGAGCAGTTGGCCAAGCTTTATGTCCGCGAGATTGTGAGGCTTCACGGGGTTCCCGAGAGTATCATTAGTGATAGGGACCCGAAGTTCACATATCGGTTCTGGGAGGCGCTGCAGGAGGCTTTTGGTACACAGATGAGATTGAGTACCGCCTATCACCCTCAGACTGATGGACAGACTGAGAGGACCATCCAGACCTTGGAGGACATGTTGCGAGCTTGCACGTTGGAGCAAGGCTCGGCATGGGATAGGTACCTTCCGTTGGTTGAGTTTTCTTACAACAACATCTTTCATGCTAGCCTGGGCATGGCGCCCTACGAAGCACTGTATGGTAGTAGGTGTCGGACTCCTACTTGTTGGTCTGAGGTTGGGGACAAGGAGCTTTTTGGCTTGGACTTTGTCCAAGATACCACCTTGCAGATCCAGATGATCCGTGAAAAGTTGAAGCAGGCGCAGAATCGCCAGAAGAGCTACTAAGATGTCAAGCATTGCCCGCTGGAGTTCAGTGAGGGTGAGCACGTGTTTGTGAGACTTTCACCTGTCACTGGTGTTGGTCGGGCACTCGGAGTGAGGAAGCTGAGCCCGCGATATATTGGGCCATACCAGATCCTTGGTAGAGTAGGACCTGTTGCCTACCGGCTTGCCTTGCCTCCGAACCTGGCTAACATCCACGACGTGTTTCACGTGTCTCAGCTTCGGAAGTACATAGCAGATCCTTCGCACGTGGTGCAACCGGATGATGTGGAGGTTCGGGAGAACCTAAAGACTCCTGTCGGACCACTCAAAATTCTCGATCGTGGCGAGAAACAACTGAGGAGCAAGATCGTTCTGATGGTTAAGGTGCAGTGGACCAGAAGGACTCCTGAGGAGTGTACTTGGGAGCGTGAGGACGAGCTTCTCCGGCAGTACCCCGAATTTCGACCAGGTATGTTTCTGATTTTGAGGTCAAAATCCTAAAAAGGTGGGGTGAATGTAAGAACCCGCACCGTTAATTAAGGTATTTAATTAATTAATTATGTGAAAATAGGAAATGATTCCATAATTGACCCTAATAATTATTTATGAGGCTTAATAATTATGATAAGTGATTTAGAATGCTGAAAGTCACTTTTCGGAAGAAAAGTGCAGATACCGGTTCTGCTAGTTGGTATAAATGCGTACCAAAAAATTATCCCGAAAAATTAATATAAGTGCATGATAATTACTAGAATAATATGTAGGACTTGTAAAACGAGTTTCAAGTCCAAATAATGAGAACTGGTGCTAGAAACCGGTACTGGCTTTGAAAAGCGCGTACCGGAAAGGTGCTCAGAAAAATATTATAAAAATATGATAAATCTTAGAAAATTATGTACTTTCATAATCCAAAGTTTGGGATTAAAATGCTAAGCGTAGCAATTAAAGTTAATACTGTGCGTTTATGTGTTAAATCACTATAAATAGGCACAATTGGCCCTAAACCCTAGGCACTCAGATTTGTCTACGTGACTTGGTGGCTGACTTGCACCTTATACACTGTTCCATTGCTGTCTTCTTCCTCTTGGAGAGCCTTGTGGCCTTTTCTTCCTCATTCTTCTTGATTCTTCATCCTTGAGTTTGTATACACTTGAGAGCATCCTTGTGGGAGTGAAAGGAGGATCTTTTCTGAGGTTCCAACTGCTGTGTTGAGCTGGTGAGGGGGCTGAGTTTGAGAGGAGTCATCTTGTTCTTGGTGTTTGAAGCTTCAAGGAGCCTCCTTGTTGTGTAAAAGAACCACCTTTGTGCACCATTTTCGTGTGCAGTGAGAGATAGAATCTTGGAAGTGTCTAGTGAGCTCCAAGAGCATCTCCATTCTGAGTTTTGAGTCTTGGTATGTTGTACCAACCTTTAACTTGAGTTTTAAGGCTTAAAAATGGTACCTTGATGCATCTAATGACTAAAAGATGATAACTTGTTGTTGGGTAATGTTGAACACGCCTAGAAATGCATGATTAGATGTTTAAAGTCGGTAAAAAAGGAACCTTTAAGGGATATCTTCACGAAAATGCAGAAACTGCATTCTGTTGTGAAATATCCGGATATTTGTCGAACAGATATTCGGATATTGGATATCCGGATATGTGGTTTTGGGATATCCAGATATTGGATATCCGGATATGTGAATCTGTATATCCGGATATGCAATATCCGGATATGGACAGTGAGATATCCGGATATTGCATATCCGGATATGGTCCCGAGAAATATCTGGATATTCTGGGATTTCGCAGAACAGTAGCTGTGTTGTGTGTACAGTAGGCTATTGGGGGTTTGTGGACCCTAGTTTGATGAAGTTGAACTTCTGTATTTATTGGGCTAAGCCAGAATCTTGAGATTAAGGGCTTGTGGCTTTGTTAGAAGCCTTAAGACTTGAAAACGTAATGAAAAGGCGTTGTCTTTAATTTGTATGCATGTGGTACATGTTTATTGATTTATTGGTCCATATCAGATTGTGATCTACTGTGATTGGACTTTGAGCTTGTGGCATTGGATAGCTAGCTTAGAGGTAAGCTTTCGTGTCCTCGGTTTAGCCATGTTGTGGTTCCACCATGTCCCATGGGGATATGGTATATGCATGCTGTGTTACATGCTTTTGATGTTTTGGAAATGCTGTTGAACTATTGTATGTTAGTGCCTTGTTGATATGCATGGAGGTGTTCCACCTATACGGTAAGCCTGAGTATGTAGAACATACAAGAGGGTGAGGTTGTGGGTGAGGTGCAAGCGGTGTTCCTTGTACTACATGTAGGGAATAGACGTATTCCTACATTTCTCTGGCCAGTAGATAGTGATTACACACATGCCATAGATATCTGTTGCACTACATAGTTTTGGAACTGATAATGATATAAATACTTTTAGAACTTATATTGCACATGTAAGTGAGCTTAGGATGGAAGATCCTTGAGGACCCCTTGTCTTACTGAGATTTCTAGTTTAGAGATCTCACCCCATGTTTGGGGAATGCTTATTTCAGGGTCAGGTAATGTTGAGACCTCAGGCGGCAGGAGGCCGGAGCTGAGTTAGATTGCTGTTATATTATGCTGCCATGATTGGATGCTGAATTTGCATGCTGTTTATGCTTATAGCTTCAGTTTATGTTTATGGAGTTTTATGTTGAGACTGGTTGTTTACTATGTTTATTTGGTGAGCATGGGGATTGTCCACGACACATAGTATTGTTATGTCTTGTTTATGTCTTGAGTCTTCTGGAGTTGTAATAATGTATCAGGTTATTGTCCGGATTACTTGATGTAATGCCGTGATTTAGATACACACTTTATCTATATGTTGAGGTATTTCAGTAGATGTCTTATTGCAATTTACATACATGCTATATTTTATGAAATTGATTAAGTAATCAAGTTGGTAATTGATAATGACGTCATAATTGAAAAGAAAAAGAATATTCCGCATTTTTAGTTAAGCACCGTTTAATACGATGTAATGTTAATATTTCGAGTATACACAGGGTGTTACATTGAAGGCCATGTGGGTTGAGGAACGACGTCGTTTTGAGAGTCTCATACACCTTGGACATACCATTTTTTATTAAACCCAAAATTGCCCCTCACCTAACCGTTGGACACCTTACCATTTCCCTCTCTTCTAACTTCGACGCTCCATATTTGAGAAGGAAGGAAGAAGACCGTGGAGTAAACACTCGCCTGCATTTGGAATACTACGAACTTGGAGAACAATCGGAGGGAACCAGTGGAAGACAAAGAGAACTTGGGTTTTTTGTGAGGCCGAGCCTTCCGTACAAAAAGGTAAGAGTATTTATATGTTGAAACATTTTTATATTTTTCTTTGTCATCCATTTGCTTGTGGTCCCCATGTTGTTCCCCTTTGTTTAATGCTTATTTTTTTCTGCATGCGAAGTGGACATTGTGGTCCATGTTTCCATTTAGGGTTTTTTGTTAAAGATTGTAACTACCGGGTGGTGTGGACCCTGTTTTAGAAAAGAGGGCCATGGTTGACCCAGTATCAATTAAAAACCCCACGGTAATATATGGGAAAAAAGTCAGCATCCATAAAAAATGTTGGTTTAGGGTATTGCTTTGTATTGTTTAAGTGGTCTACAGTCTGTGGCCGTGGGATTAATGATAGGTTTGTTTTTTTGGTTTTGACAGATGTCCAAATACATAGTGATTGTTTATCATCATGGTGGTATTCTAATCAGAGATGAAGATGGAGTGATGACCTATATAAATGGAAGGGTGGACTCATTGCCAGAGATGGACATTGACTACTGCAATATCTGTGACCTTGACACCCTGTTTAAGCAATATGGGTATGAAAAATGCAAGAGGATGATGTGGCTACAACCTGGGGTACCCGATTTGGAACAAGGGCTCAGACCTCTTAGTACAGATTCAGATGTGTGTGCCATGTGTGAGGCTGCTTTAGGGAATGTCAATGAGATACATGTCTACTTTGAGGACTGCATCTCAATTCCTGAGTTTGCTTCACCTCAACATGACAGTGAAGAGGATAATGTCATTAATTCAGCACATAATGAGGACCATGAAGAGGTTGATAATGGGGTCAATTCACATGAAGGGTGTGCACAAGGTGATGATGGGGTCAAAGAAAATGAAGATCATGCACAAGCTTCTGGTGACCTGAATTTACATGATGATGGGATCAAAGAAAATGAAGACCATGCACAGGCTGCTGATGGCTTGAATTTACATGATGATGGGATCAATTCGGACCATGATGAAGAAAGTGCAGAGGATGCTGGTAATGGTTTTGAAGATGATAGTGCAGATGATGACCATACTTCCTCACACTTAGATTCATATGAGAGTGCAGAGGATGAGGTTTACAAGGTCAGAGTAAGGGCCAAATGCAGTGTAGAAGACTGTGAATGGATGGTGTATTGTTCCTGGAACACCAAGCAAAGCACATTCCAAGTTAAGACTTTTAACGAGACTCATACATGCTGTAGAGTTTTCAAGAACAAAAGGGCTACACGAGATTGGGTTGCCAAGAAATTGGAGAAGAGAATACTAACACAGCCCAAGATGACCAAGACAGAGGCATTTGAGCACATGAAGGAGGAATACAATGTTCATTTGGATATGAAGAAAGTAAGCAAGGCTTTGAAAAAAGCAAAGGGAACCATTGAAGGTTGTGAGAAGGAACAATATGGAAGACTAAGAGAATATCTGGCTGAGCTGTTGAGGAGCAACCCTGGCTCCAGTTGCAAATTGCAAGTCACCCCCCAACCTATTCCACAAGCATTGCCAATATTTGACCGAATGTACATCTTCCTTGATGCTTATAAGAAGGGCTTCAAAGATGGATGCAGGCCCTTAATTGGGTTGAATGGTTGCTTTTTGAAGGGCTATTATGGAGGTCAATTATTGAGTGCTGTGGGTGAAGATGCAAACAAGCAATTTTATGTGATTGCCTATGCCGTGGTTGATAGTGAGACAAAGGATAATTGGAAGTGGTTTTTGACCTTATTACAGGAAGATTTAGGGGATCATGGAGTATTTGGTTGGAACTTCATATCAGATCAACAAAAGGTAAGGCTTTTTTGCTTGTGCTTATTACAGCAACCTTTTTTTGCTTTTTTGACCTTATGCTTGTGCTTCCATTCATTTCACAGCAATGACAGCAATGACAAAAACCAGAAAATGTATAAGTGATGATATAAATGGAATATGTTTTGTGAAATACTATATCTGTGTTGTTGCCAATATTTTTCATTGTTGTCATTGCTGTGAAATGAATGGAAGATTGTGTTGGTCTTCATGACTGTATTCAATGCTGAAATTTGTAAATGTTGCTCCAAACCATGTATCTACTTATACACTTTCTGGTTTTTGTCAACAATGGTATGTTTGTTCTGATTGCTTTGTCCATTTAGGGGTCATGTGTTGCTTAACTGCACTTGTCATCCATATGCTTTTTAAGTTCCCTTACAAGTCCTCCACAATTTTTATTGAGGACCATTTCAGTCTTTGTTTTTTAACAAAGGGGACCATTTTGTTCCCTCACAATTTTATCGGGGTCTTTATTGGTCCCTGCTACAGTTCTGTTAACACCAGTGCCACCATGGGCACTTACCACACCAGCAATGTCATGTCCCCTTGTACATGCTGATATTAGTCATGCTGATATTTATTTCACATTATGTTCATATGAGATTGTGTTTTAACTTTTTGTTTCAACTTCACACACAGGGACTTGTCCCAGCCTTGAAGGAAATTATGCCAGGTTCACACCACAGGTTCTGTGTACAACATGTATGGAAGAACTTCATCAAGCAATGGAAGGATAAAGAGACAAGAGTCATTGTGTGGGAATGTGCTAGATGCACCACTGTTCCCCAATTTGAGAAGGTCATGCTAAAGCTCAAGACTCTAAACGAACCAGCTTGGAAGTATCTTGACAATATACACCTTTCATGTTGGGTTAAGGCCTACTACAGTCACTGGCCTAAATGTGACAATATAACGAATAATATGCCTGAGGTGTGGAATGCAAAGATTGTGAATTATAGGTCCAAACCTATAATGACATTATGTGAGGAATTGAGGTGCTACATAATGCGAAGGATGGCAGCACACAAGAGGATTCTACAAACCTTTAGGGGTAAGATTGCACCTGCACAGCAGAAGAGGCTGGACCAGTTGAAGGTTGCAAGCAATTCTTGGACACCAACATAGACTGGAAACTTGGTCCAAGAACTGTATGAAGTATCTGGAAAGGGTCAACGTGTTGGGGTGAATTTAACTCAACAATCTTGTAGTTGTAATGTTTGGCAGCTGACTGGATTGCCTTGTGAACATGCCATTGCTGCCATTGCACACAAGAATGAACCTGTGGAAAATAATGTTCACCAATGGCTGACAGTGGATGTTTTGCATGCCACTTATGAACACACACTTAACCTAGTCAATTCCCAACAATATTGGCCAGCTTGTGATGCCCTAAAACCACTTCCTCCACGCTTGAAAATGCCTATTGGACGTCCAAAAAAGCATCGCAAGAAGGATCCCACTGAAGAGCTTATGAAGACCAACAAGAAGCTTAGAAAGACTTACACGGTTCAATGCTCCAAGTGTGGTGAGACTGGTCATTACCCGAAGACATGTAAGGGACCTGCTGGTGGATCAAAGTCAAAGACAAAACCGGTTAATGTTGAAGTAGGCCAGTCAAGGACAGTTGAAGAAATCATCATGAGCATGAGTCAGGGCTGCCCTGCACTAGAGACAAGCAGCTAGCATGCAACAACTGCAGTTGAACCAAGAGCTTCAAGAGGTAGTAGCCCACCTCCATGCACTCCTGCTGAGGTAGTGACCAGTGAGACAGCAGCTGCAGCTAGCAGTGGCACCAGAGCCAGATTCATGAGCTTCATGTCTACACCAGGATTCAGGCCACCTAGGCCAGCCCCACATAACTGATTTGGAATTGTAATCACTGATATTAGGCCAGTTCGAATGTGACAGTTGGCATTTTTTTTTGTTATTAGGCCAGTAGCTTGGAATTGTAATTAGGCCAGCTTTTTGGTATTAGTTTGGTTTTGGCCCTGTTCAAATGATTCACCAATGGCTTTTTTTTTTGTATGCCTCTGGTTATGGCTATATTAAGTATGAACACTTTGTTTTTTGGGAATACAAAGTGTTCCTACTTAATGGTTTATTATGTCAGTTGGAATTGTAAGTACAAAGTGATGATATGAATGGAATATATTTTTTGGATTACTATATCTCTTATGTCATTACTATTTTTCATTGTTGTCATTGCTGTGAAATGAATGGAAGATTATGTCAGTTTGATTACTATCTGTCTTCACTGTAATGACTGTATTCAATGCTGCAATTTTTAAATGTTGGTCCAAACCATCTATCTGCTGATACACTTTCTGGTTTTTGTCAACAATGGTATGTTTGTTCTGTTTGTTTTGTCCATTTACGGGTCATGTGTTGCTTAACTGCACTTATCATCCATCTTCTTTTTAAGTTCCCTTATAAGTCCTCAACATTATTTATCGAGGACCTATTTAGTCCTTGGTTTTTAACAAAGGGGACCAATATGGTCCCTAACAATTTTATCGGGGTCCTTTTTAGTCCCTTCTAAAGTTCGATTAACACCAGTGCCACCATCTGCTATTAACAAACCAGCAATGTCATTTCCCCTTGTACATGTTGATATTAGTTATGCCTAACACAATAAACTTCTTCATAATTCACACCATCACATTTTTAGTTTAGTCTTTATACATTGTTTCCATTCAAATCTCAACAGCAGCAAATCTCAACAGAACCACATTTTTTATACAATCAAAGTTTGCATAATTCATTACACCAGCAAATCTTTATTCAATCAACTTCTGCATAATTCATAATATAAAATATACATAGTACTTGCAAATCTTCCATTCAAGTCTTTATACAATCAACTTCTGCATAATTCATTACACCAGCAAATCTCAACAGAACCACATTTTTTATTTATTTCACTCCAGCCTACTTGCAAGATATATACATATTAGAAACACAACAATAATGGATCCTGCAAACACCCTAGCACACCTACACACTTGCATCATTTCCTTCTCAACCCTTTCAAAGTTTGCTTGCATCTTCATTGATATGTCTTCAATCTTTATACAGTGCTCATTAATCTTGTTTTTGTGGTCATTCACTTCCAGCTGCAGTTCCTCATTGAGCTTCATGTCCAAAAAGTTCAACTTGAACTCCATTTCAGCTAAATTCAACTCTAGCTTGATAAT